TGTATTTATTTGTATAGCGCTTTTCTAGTCCACCCATTCACACACCGGTGATGGAAAGCTACATTGTAGCCACCCTGGGGGCGCACTGAACATTGGCAACAAGATGAGCATTTACAAGAAATCCGAGCACTTCTGAGAAGTGTTACAGTTTATGCTTATTTTGACCAGCAGATGGCAGCACAAGTCACAATATGAGAAACATTTAGTACAATAAGAATAAAGTAATGAAAGTTGTAGTGGTGACTTGTATGATGTTTGCAGACAAATGCAGAGTGCAGCACAGAGACTGTGGCTGCAGTAACTTTTCTTCTGCTTGATCAGTTTAATCCGTCACATTTTATATTATTGTTCAAATAAAACGGACTGCAGTTTGGAAAAAAATGAGAAATTGTGTAACTAATAGAAGCCAAATATTATGTTAAGTCTCATTTGCACCACTAACGCAGCATTTATCCTTGTAGCTTTACTTTATATGAAGTGAAGTAGGAGACGCTCAAACGGTCGGTTACGCGCACAAGACAAAAACAAAACGGCCTGTTTTGATCTGAGCGCGCGCAGTGAGAAGCACAAAGTCTGCGCAGAAGGTTTTTAACCTCCTCACACCGTCTCTGACTGAATTTTTTGGTTTTTGGAGCCAGCAAACACAAAAGAAAATATGTATTTAACCCGCTCCAGAGTTACTCCAGAGTCTGAGCGGAAATGATCCTTAACTGTTTAACTGCAGCGAGAGCTGGCAAGTCTCATGGTTCACTTACGCGCAAGTTAACAAATCTAATAAATATGATCCAAACTCTTAGTGTTAGTTCAAACTGACCTGCAAACAAAGAGGGTGAGTGCAGCTGGGAACCTCAGATGTCCGAGCAGCCATTTCCGTCTTATTGTTCGGAAGATCCTACTTTTCAAAGTTTGCTAAATATCCAAAAGATGGTGAGATTTCACGAGAACAGGAGATCCCAGTTTTTCAATAAAGCTGAAAGTTTCCGAGCCTGAAAACGGGTGCGTTTGTTTTCAAGTGCGCGCTCAAGTGTCTTTTAAAGGAAGAAGAACAAACTGAGGGCGGGGTCATAAACATGTGTGTAATAACAAAGCGGCAAGTCACTGGATTCAGACCTGATCAACAACAAAATCGATCACTAATCAGTCATCAGTCACATTAAAACCATTATAGAAGCTGATTAATAGAATAAACAGGATTCATGCTCAGATTTAAGTGGATCTTCTCTGACTGTGACTTTGATGTGAGATGTGTCATCTCTTATCCTCCTGTGCATCTCACTGATACACTGTCTCACATTTAACTGGCTCTAAGCTAAGAAAGTACATTTTTCTGACAACAAAAGTTTTGCCCTGAAACTCAAACATCTGTAAAAGCTGTTTACACCAGCGGTATCAAACATGAGGCTCATGGACCAGAGCCAGCCCACAAAATGATCCATTTCAGTTCACTTGAAGTGAGGAAGAGAAAATGAATTATTGTTATCTTTCATTTCTACATATGTAAAATACTCCTGTTTACTCATAGAAATTCTACATGGCAAGGTTGTTGTAAATTGCAACGCAGGCATATTGTTAAAAATTATCTCAATTTAGCAAAATCAGGCTTCTTCTTTTCTTCCTGAAAAACTAAGAAAAGGGTCGTTTGTTTTTCTACAGGGATTCTTTAAGATTTGTTGTTTCAGCATTTTCTTAATTATCAGCTAGTATTTCAGTGGTCACCTGAAACTTCTTAACAGTCCCATATTTTTATTCTTAGACTATATAGAGCAACATTTGTGGTCCATTACACTCTGGACATATGAACAACATCTTAATCTAAACCTTTAGAGACCAGAGCACTGACACTAACAGTTTAGAGGTTCGGGAATAAATGCTTTCCAGTCACAGTCAGGAGGACTTTGATTATTAATAAAAGTACTGCTGTGGAGGATGGTGTAAAATCTTTTTAATGCTGGATTGCGCTACTGTGGTTATCCTGGATCAGAAGGAGAGGTTGACATCCAGATGTAGAGTTCCAACAGATGCAGTTTATTTTATATTCAGTGTAGTGGTACATGAGGGTTGGGTATTGTGTGGTTTCTGCAAACAGGAGCCAAAAGGAAATTACAAAAAATAAGGAATTTCACAGGCTTCAAACACCCACACTACCGTGCTATTAAGTAGTTACGTCACTGCAATTTAGCTGAACATGAATGCAATAAATATATTCTAAACAATTAATAAATGTGCCACAAGAGGGCACTCAGAGCTTAGCTCATATTGGAGCTAAGCAAACTGGTTATGGCTAACCAACCGGATCTAGCAGTGGTGAACAAGCAGAGGAACAGATGTGACTATATTGAGTGACGGCAACATCAGGAACAAGGAACACGAGAACTGGAGAAATATCAAGAGCTGAGAAGATGTGGAGGATAACATCTGTGATGTCTTTATTAAACACTTCACTGCCTTCAGATTCTGACATTTAGATTGAATGAGACAAAGCTTAATTGTGTTTTGAAGCCCTGAAAATTTCATGTTTTCATATGTGTTTTACTAATCGAGTTAATCGGGCTAAAAAATGCGTCAGAGATAAGGCGAATTAAAAGGCACCAAGTGTCATGTGTACTCTGAGCTCTGAAACTCTCTGGAACTCCGAAAATAATCACAGTATGATTTTAAAGCTCCCCCTTTTCTGTTCAGTCCATTTACCACTGAACAGAAGTTATTATCAGCAGAGTTTAAGTTACGTGTAATTTCAGTGTCACTGAAGCTTCTTTTGTTTGATGGTTGAATATAAAGAGTCTACCCAAGTGCTTGTTCACAGCTTGATTGTTGGAGCTTTTGCTATTGTAGGGTATTAACCTGACAGCATAAAGCACCTTGAAGTCAAACCTACTGTGAAATGTGACTATATAAATAAAAGGGAACTGAATGTGAACACCAGTGCTGTTTCTATATTTAACAGTTGATTCTGGTATTAATACAAGACCTTTGTTTTGAGCAGCAACTTATCGCAACTTATCCATATGACCCTCTGAATGCTACCCAGAATGCACTACATCAGGGTGCCAATTCTTGTAGGGACCATGTTTATCTCCTTAACAACCAAGCTGTTAGCTGCTGTTAACAGTTCGTTGCTTCACTTTGCATATGCAAGTGAAACATTTAGCTTGACTTACAGCTGTCAGCACATCTAAAAGATTCTCAAAGGGGTTCAGGTGGGAACTTTGAGATAATCCAATAGGGTCATACACAGCATGTAAATACTTGATGTACATTCAGAAATAACATGAAATCATCTTGAGGTGCTCTTTATTGCATCGTAAAGAAAGTAGCATTTCAGGCCATTTCCTCCCTCTTATCACTAGGCTTGGCTGGAAACTGCTCCTTACTTCTTTTAAATCTCAGAAATACCATAAACCCAATGACAGCAGCGATGAGAACAACAACAACAACAATCTGAATACTCAGAGTTTCTGCTTTTCTATCATACATGTTTCCGTCTGTAGCTCCTTTTCCCTTCAGCTGCTGTTCCAACAAGGTTTTATCCGTTTCACCTGCAGAGAAAACATCAGCTGTCAGAGTTTTGCTGTTGATCATCCACAGAGTTAGCAGCATGCTATGACTTCACCCATCACATAGTCATCCACCCACTATGTCAAAACTGCACAAAATTATAACTGGCCCAAAAAACTGGGGCGCGATGCAGTTTTCAGGGCGTGTAGACAAACTCACCTGTGACTGTGAGGTTGATGAAGAGACTGATCTCAGTGTGAGCTCTTTTACTGCTCACAGGGTTCCTCACAGCTACGTGACACTCATACATCCCAGTGTCATTAAATGTGACCTTCTTCAGGATCACAGACACGTCTCCATCCTTCATCTCCGGGTGCCTCAGCTTCACTCGGCCATGAAAAGATGGATGTTGGTAATTTTCATAGAAGCGTTTGTTCCTGTAGAAGTAGACGTAGCCGTCTGTGTTCAGGTCAGGTCTGCTCCACTTTAGCACTGAGATTCTTTCATCTGTGAAATCTGACACTGAAGAGTGACGTCCTCTTCAAGCTTCGCCTGCACATCCTGCTGCAGAAAAGAAAAGAATCAATCTTTTTTTCCCACTGTTAGAACAGGATATTTAAAACTGAACACACCACAGTTGATCCAAAAAAAGCCTGAAAAAATGTCAGAGGAAAAAAGGGTGTTTTTGGTTCCACACATCACAAGTGTGAAAATGTCATGGAAACCTTTTTTTTTTTTCATCCAGTGCAGGCAGGTTTTTCTTTTTAAATGTCAAAGTACCGAGATATCTTGAACGTGATCATTGTGTTTTATTTATTTATTTATTGTATTTATTAATTTACATTTAGCATTTGTGTAAACTAAAAGTACATTTTCAACCTCTGTGACTGTAAAAACAAGTCAATCCTGAAGCAGTAAAAAAATGCAGTGCCTCTAATGTTCACTTACAGCTTCAAAAGAGACCGTTTGTATTAACTATTATCCTAGAACGGCAAAATAAGCAGTCTACAGACTTTAAACTGTTTGGGTCTTCGTACCTAATTTGCCCCTTTCTAATAACTCCATATGGATGATGCCGAGGCTAGAAATGAGGAAAACACTTGATTAACGCGGACCTAACAGAGGTGGTTGTACCTGCCCGCAAGGCTTCACCTCAGCTTTTGTCTATGATCACGGAGTCCATTTGAACACCTGTGTTAAACATGATCCTATTATTTGAAGTTGTTCAGGAGATATCGTGTTCACAATAAGATAACTCCTCTGACCACAGGTTCCAGCTCAGTGTGAGTCTGTAAAAGTCCTTCACCAGTTTTTTCCAATTGGATTTAAAGCACTCGTGAACGATATTAGCCCAGATAATGAAACATTATCATCAATAAAACACTCCTCTTTGATATTATTGTCCTCCACCAACAATGTGCATAAAAATGCTTGTAAGCTGTCAATGGTTCACCTAGCACACACTGTGATGTGATGTCCA